TCAGCATAACAGAAACCAAGGAGGAATAATCCTTTGCCTCGTCTCCAAATTTGTCCCATTGTACCACAGCCACATCTATGGTTTCATGTGTGAAGCTGAACGATTAAACAGTCTCAGCATTTGGAGATTCATGAAAAGTGGTGATGAAGATATCGTCTTTTCAGAAGATGTAAAGATTTTCCAGGTCCAAACCCCAGCATCGCAGCAGGCTGTCTCATCAGGTGCTGAACTTTGTATGCATTCCAACAACCGAGGCAAGTTTTTGTGTTGAATGAGAACAATTTTTTTTTTCTTTATTCTGGGATGATTTTGGTGCTTGGTCATGATGTATAGTACAGTCACCAGCCTCTGATGTTGAAGGCTAGGAATCCTCAGACAGAGAAGGCTTCAGAAATTCTTGAAGCCAAGAGGAGTGCTGCAGGCACAAACTAGGGTCATCTCAAAAGTGACTGAAATTATGGAGTTCAACTAATCTATGCCATGAAATCCCACAAACCTTCAAGGTAGGTAGCTCATCTTGTGCAAGGGATGCAGCCAAGATATGTTATGAGGATCTTCAGGCAGGAGGCACATCCAGCTGAAGCAGCAGACAGTAGCTCTAAGAGTGCTATTACTATTAACCAACAGCAGTTTTTGGAAGAGATGTGGAGCGTATGGGGAATGTTGGTTGGTTTACAATCTCGTTTCACACTGTTTGGTACTGCACTGCCGTTTAAGAATGCCTCTAGATATTGACTGATCCCTTTCTCCAATATCATTACAACAAGATGAGAGTGTTCATGTGATGGATCAGATGTCTCCTCAAATATTCATTTGTTTGGTACGTTTTCCCAGCTTTGTTTCGTAGCGGCACCTGAATTTTCATTTGTGTCCGCAGTGGGTGTCTTAGGGAGCCCTAATGCAGACACGTACCATGGAACTTTCTCCAGCCACCTTCCACTCCAGGTGCCTCACCAAAATCTAAGCTACATCAGATTTGACACATTTAATATCCTTCCAGAAAATTCAACGCAAAACAGACAATACCCCTAACAAGCCAAGTAACTCATATCCTACCCTATAATCTCAAAAGAGTACACTGGTTAGAAAACATGCCTTAATAAATCAACATATGCTTAGGTGCCAGGATTATGCCTAACAACTTGGAAATATTATGTCACATGCACATTCCTGTAAGACTTTATATTGAACATTGAACTTCTGTACGGCTATTATAAGGATTCCTCATATATTTTTATAGCTACTCCAGGCAAGGGCTATAAAAGAAAATTGTCAAGTCTTTACACAGGTATCAATATTTCTGTCAAGCATCACTCATCTGTATGGAGTAGCCTCACCCCAATTTCTGTTCCTCAAACATTCTGTTACTGAGGAATTTCCACCCCTCAGCATTTTTCAGGAGTCCTAAAAGGCGATCAATATCTTTTCCGGTTTTCAGTGAAATACACAAGAATCCTTACAGAATAAGTTAGATATGTTCTCCAGATAGGCAATACTTTATCATTAACATCACAGATGATGGTATTGAGCTCTTAGTCTTCAAGTAGAAACCTCCATCTTATATTCTTGGGAAATATATCTACCACTGACAAGCCAAATGTACAGTTCCACAGGTTATACTGAATCCCAAATAAGAAGTATTTTTCCAAGTAGATTTTATAGAGCTCTGTATAGTAGAAGACGATTTATTCTCCCTAGGAAGAGTTACTCTAAATTTGCCTGTATAGTCAACATGGAATGTCTGCAGTAAGTCCTGCATTTGCACATTAGCATAAAACTTTTGAGAAGGTTTGATGTCGTGAACATTTTCATCCAAGCTGAGTTTTCACATAAGATGCAAATACAGGCAGCTATCTTGCAGGAGGTATTGCAGTTCACTGGCAAATGCATATGAAAAATTCAAGGTGTTTAGTTTTGTCTGGCTATTTTTTGTTTGTTTTTTTTACTTTACACAAATTCTCATCCAGTTCTGCCTTAGAGCTCATAACTATCAGCAATTCCATCTTTCTAAGAAGAGTTTTAAAAAATGAGAATATTAAGGTCAGTTTTACCTAGCGTTCCTGATGATACTGCTCTATTAAAAATCATGACTTAATTGAGCACTGTTCTTCTGTATTGTTTCACATTTCTAGGAATTTGAAATAATATTCTCAATTAAATTTAATTTAGTTATGCTTGTGAAAGAAGAGTCCTTCTTTTTTCTTTTAATTTATAATCAGAACCTAACTTTAGAAATCCTTAAAAAAGATTCTTCAGTAGTCAATGGATCTCCACAGGTCAGTTTATTCAAGTTCAAGATACATGTCCAAGGCAGATGGGATAAATGATGCATACATCTCTTTCAGCTGACTATGAGCACCTGGTTTAGTTTTTAGACAGATAAAATAAGATAAGTTTAAATGCAGCATACCTTTGAACAAGATATATCATGCACAATACTGACACAGGGACTTTCTAGGTTGCCTCCTTGAGTACTTTGTAGGTCATATCTTTATTCGTTTTATATATTTTTTTAATTAACTTTAACATAATTATATAATTATCTCAAAATTTCCTGTTTGGAATAAAAAGTAAAAATTAAAAAATATAATGAATACTTATAATAAAGCTTCATCTGAATACATGTCAAAGCAGAGCTTTGTATATGTGCTTGATGTTAGGCAGTTGAACAGCTTGTTGATAGCGAGAGGATAATGTAAGTCTATCTGTAAAGCTAAGGCTGCTCTTAAGAGCTTTCTAGTTTTAGCCAAAATCTTTTGCAGTTTTGTTAGTATGTAGGTATCAGAGGCTTTCTAAATGGCTGGACAATGCATTCACCTTTTAATTGAGCCAGATTTTATGTGTCTAAAAAGGAAGAAGAAGAATACATGTAAAGAAGTTATATGCAGTGCAACTGTTTTCAGTAGGTGTAGAAGAGGCCACAAGTCAGTCACTTCTCAAGTTTCCACCTGTACCATAAAAAATATTTGCCTTTACACCTGAACTCTAGTGAAGCAAGTAAGTCTTATCCAAACAGGCAAGCATCCTAACATATTTGAAAATACCTGTATGAGTGACAAATATTTCTGTAAGAAAACAGGTCCTTCTTTCAGAGTGCTTTTAATTGGAGGAGAAAAGTGTCTCTAAAATCCTGGAGAAAAATAGGCTTTCCACTTTTTGTGAAGGTTGTTTAATTTTGAAACATATAGAGATTTGAAAATTCAAGAGAAATATGTTTAAATATGAATTGTATTAATGAGAAGAGGGCAAGAATCTTGTCTTCTAAGTGGTTATGACTCATACCTTCCAATTATAGCATGCATACATCATATTTCAGTAAAAAAAGAGGACCGAGCATCCTCTGGATGGAAGATATTTGGATACTTGGTGAACCACTAGCTGATTAACAGTTGCCAGACCTCATCTTGTAAAAAAACCCGTGAACCTGAGTCTTCCCTTACTTACCCTACCGTAAAAACCACAAGTAATTCTGCTGCTGCCAATGAAGTTACTTTGTTGTTGAAACTGGCACGAGGGCAGAATCACTCAAAAAACGCCTATAAACTCCAGTCTCTGACTTCATTCAGCTTACAGAAAAAAATGCTAAGATTTTAAATGAAAGCACACATACAACTCCATACCCCTTAAAATTAAGCTAGAAGCCCATTCCCAAAGGCATATGCTAAAAAAAAAAAAAAAAAAAGACAACCCAACCAAATCACAAACCTCTGAAGTGCAGTCACTTAAGTGCCAAAAAGCACTGTTGTTTAAGTGCCAAAGCATAGTTTGCTTTGGCTCAGCAGCAGTGGAGCAGAATGATGCATCCCATAATGGAAAAGGCCCTTCTACTCCCCCTCTAGCCTCCTTGCATGCCGCTCCCTGTCGGTTAGGCTGCAGGGACCTTGCACAACTCTGGTTTGTTGCAAGGGCTGCCAGAGCTGCCCTGAGGGTCTTACGGGTTGTGCAAAATCTTCCGGGAGTTGCAGAGAAGGCTGGAGAGGACAGCCTCTTCAGCAAGTAGAGGATAGCTCAGATCAAGTACTGTGTTTCAGAGGACTTTCTGAGAGTTTAGAGGAAAGGGAGAACCTCTGAAATGTCATTAGGGGACAGAGATGGCTGAAAACTTAAAAAAATTGGGGTTAAACCAAAAAAAGCATATAGAGGCTGGTTTTCCTGAAGGATTTCTGCAGGTGAGGCAAGAGAGAAGGTGGAACCTACACAGCTGAGGAAGAGAATTGCAGTGGGTGAAGGGGGGAAGTATCACCACGAGTAGCTCTACCACAACAGGCTTATTTTACTCTTTTTTTTTTGCGTATATGATTGTTGTTGAACAGCTGGGAATCAGCTTAGTTAGAATTTTGTTCTGCCTCAGTCCAACTTTCTGCTACTCTGTTTCTTGCAGAACCTATAACTGCATCCATCTCTTCGCTTACATTGCTGAGATTTTACTTTCTTTTGTGCACATGATCTGTAATGTCTGTTCCTTTAGATCTTAGTCTCATATTTTTGTACAGAAGTGGATCAGTGAAGCACAGGACAGAGGAATTTGTGATAAGAATAGGATTTTGAATGCAGAGAGTGGCTGATACAGGACTGACTGAACGCTGTTGACACCAGCTCCATCAGAGCCCTGTTTACATGCAGCACTGACTACCATATATCTTGGCTGGTGGGATATTACCAGTCCTCAAACTTCCCTGTATAGCCAGATCTAGCTGATAAATATCTTGATCATGGTTACTCTTGAACATGCCTAGCTGTAAATCACTTACCATCAATGATTAAAAAAATGTAAATTTCCTTCATATTTCTCACTCCCCAATACTGATACCACATACAGTGCAGCTGCACTGCAGCTCTACAGGCTCCTGATCTGGGGATTTGGGCTGTATACAAATTTTCACAGTGACTTTGACCTAAGAGGAACTGAAAAAGGTTTTGCTATTGGAGATGACATCCCAAACCTGCTCTTCTCTGTGTTCAGAGATGGAGACAGACATACACACAGAGGAAGTACTCACCAGTCTCAGAAGAAGTTGTCTTCACAGAAAGAAGTTTGACTCCTTCTTTATCTGACTGGGCCCTGTTGAAGTCAGAAAACATTTAAGCAGAGAGTCAGCATGCGTGTTGGTCAGCCCCCCAAAATTCTAAGATTATGATCTGGTGGAGGCAGCATCTATGCCAGTCTACACTAGTGTGCTTTGCATAGGATCATGTGTAAGTCTTGGTGGTGGAAAACATCATATAACAAAATCTCTGAAAACACCTCTGTCTTAAAATATGTAGTAAATCAATTTGCATGACTCCAGGTTCAATTTAGTGCTCCACGTCTTGGGGAAAAAGAGGGAATAATATTTTCATTACATTAATACAAGGCTTTTAGCCGTGTTAAAATGCGAGAAGGACCACTTGAGATGCCCAGGGAGTCAGGGCTAGCAAGTAAATCAGCAGCCCAAATGCTGTTCTTGGTCATACAAAACACGGAGGCCACAGCCAGACTCAATGGCCTCTAGTACATATCTTCTAATGGATCTTTCCCAGATTCACTCTCCTCCAACTCCTTATGCTAACGATGTTTTATTTGAGCCTCTGCAAATGGACTAGTGGAGAGAAGGTGGTACAGAGGAACAAGAAATAACAGGGGAAGTGAGAAAAAGAAAGTGAAAAATAATCCAGAATAAAATAACAATAAAGAGAGAGAAAAACTGAACAAAAGAAGGGGTTTAGGAAAGGATAGGGAAGAAAAAAAAAACCAATCAGTGAGGCAAAAATTGGAAAAAAGAGAAAAAAGTCTGGGCCAGTGGGCCTTGTGGCACAGCATAAGCCGTTTATCCAGTTGAAAGCCATCACATTTCTATCCATGTGGGAACAGCTGCTTGTCATGCATACAGGTGCAAAATAACTGCAAGCATATCGCTTTCTCTTTGGGGTGGCAACCGCTTATTATGTTTAAACAGAGGAAGATCAAAGAAAATCTCATGCAGAATCTGCTGCATTCACAAGTGCCCCATGATAGATTTCAAAGCGGTGAAAAGATAGGATTCAACCTACTGTTCAGTGCCATTCTCTTGTCTCTCTGGAAGAAGAAACAAAGTTAATATTTGACTGCTAGAAGTCACTTAGGTTAAACATTTAGACATAGCTATTGCAGTTGCAAGCAGAAGGCTTAGTTGTGATCTCACAGTGTTGCATTAAGTACGTAACACAATCAACCAGCTTGAACACTAACTGTTACTTTTCTAGTTTGTCCTCTCAAAACATAACGGTGTCATCTATGAAAATGAACAGATATTGCTTGAATGGACGCTTCTGGAAACAAAGGAGAATGGTATATGCTCAAGAGCACCACAGAAACACGTTTTTCTCTGCTGCTCCCAAATCCCCGGGTAGCTGGCCCAGAGGAGGTGAGCATGCGATGGTTCTCGAGTAGACAACAATGGAACTAAAAGATACAGGGTGGGGGGAGTGAGGCAACAAGCCGGATGCTCTGGAGGGGGTTAGGCTGGCACGACATCTGAAAACAGAGCCTGTCATCCCTGTCGATGAGGAACTGGTTTCTCCCCAAAATGAATCATATACCAAAGGTATTTTATGCTTACATGCAAGTGTGGGCAGACGGATGGGGCCAGGGGTTTACATCGGAGTCACGGAGCCAATTCTAGCCCCATGGCTCTGGGCACAGGGCTCTCCCTCTGCAGGGGAAGCACACTGGACAGGCCTGGGCAAATCCTACAGGAAGCACCACAGACTCTTTCTACTCTAACTTCCAAGTGAATTTGCTAGTACTGTGCCTGCTGGTATTTGTGCGTGGGGGAGACTGGTGAGGAAATGTTCTTCACCTCATATCTGTATCTCTTGACTCCAAATATTCACACCTTCCTCTGGGTCTGATTTTCTGTGTCATTGGCTAAATTTGTTGTGATTCACTGTTTGCATTGGTCTACAGCTTCAACATTCTGATGTGGTTTCATATTTCCAAGGCCCAGTGACTTCACAGCTGAAGCCTAATGTAGGTCTCCTAACTCATGCCAGCTCACAGGAAGAGAAAAAACGGTTTGGATTCAGATTCGAGTTTTCACTTAGTGGAGAACTACACTTGACTGTGGCCCACTTGAGCAATACTTTGAAACATTTGGCAAATGGATTTTAATGGAATTATAGCACATTATCTTAAATATTTCAATGACAACAGTAAAATAGGTACTGGTTTTAGCCACTCTATCAAAATGACTGTTTCTGAAAATACTGTTTGCCTGGGGATTTTGTTCCTGTGTACATTATACTGTAACTGGAAAATTTTACTTATATACAATGTATGTGTGTATGTATGTATATATATATTAGGTATTCCCTAAAGGAAAGCATTGCTATTTCTTTGCCTGTACCTAGAACAGAGATAAAATAAATATAGCAATTTTGTTAAATATCTCCAAACTTTGTTTTCACTGTCTTTTTCTACCTGTTTGACTGTATTAGCACCATACTTGTTAGCTCTTCGTAGCTGCAAAAGCATGAATAAAAAGCTTTATACCATTACATATTCTCCAAAAATCAGAGATGTTTTTGCTCCCTCTGTTCTTCCTACTGGTTTTGAAAATGAAGTGTTACTTTCCTACTTCAGGCAAAATATTTTCAAATACAAGAAGCTTTCCTATCAGACTACTGCAACATCTACGGCTAAGGTAATCTAAAAAGACCCCAGCGATCTTTTAGTAATAATAAACACACTGATCTTTCCCCCTCACCTCAGAGAAAGCAAACCAAATACCTGGAGTTTTCTTCTGGCACATTCTGTATAAAGCCACCAGGGAGAAGACAGCGAGGGTAATGACTATCAAGGTGATGACAATTGGCAGAATAACACCTGCAAAAGAGGGAGAACGTAATTTTGCCTGCTGCCCCTGGCTTGCATTGCCTCTGTGTACAGGCACTCGTATGCAGGAGGATTTAGGCACCTTCCTTCCCCCACCCTTAGGCCCTCCTCGACACTTGCACTGCCCTGTAGAGCTGGTTTCACCCATTTTTCTACAGCAGAGCAAGGTTTTAGCACCTGCCTCACTGGGACCACCATAATTTCGATCAAAATATTCACAATTCACTCCCAGTGTCAATGGCCCCTAAAGGTTTTGGGAAACAGTCCTGTTTCAGGCATAAATTTTTGATACATGTAATTTATTTTTTCCTCTTTTTTGAAAACAAGACTCATCTGAAATTCAGCAACTGAAACAATTATTTCTCTTTTAACATTGTACACCCAGAAAGACACCAAGGAGTTACATAATTCAGTAACATTCCCCACAGCACTTACAACCAGGGATAGAAAATGCAAGATCTCCTTTTAAAATGAGGACATTTCTTTCCTTTTATTATTTCCCACCATCTGCCATTTCCTGACAGGTGTTTCCCAGCCAAGAAGCAAAAAGGAAAGAATTATGTAACAAAGAGAATCTTTCCCGGGAAAATATATAAGCTCAGCTTCTCCCCATTTATCTCTTTTTCTGGCAACCGTGGGCCACATTCAAATTTAGCAGGCGCTCTCTCGCCTGCTGGCCTAAGCCCTGTGTCGGGGGAGGCTGTCACTGCATTCCCTCAGCCTTCCGCAGCATCAGCCGTCATGCCAGCCCAGTGTTAAGAAATAGCATCTTCAATGGCTCCTGATGCAATTAATATTTAATATTCATATAGATGTGTGTGTGCATCTATGGAAATAGAGGGAGAACCTGGAGACAAATTTACAGTGGAAAAAGCATCAAACATATTTTGCTAAGCTGGTCTTTTGGGTAGGAAATAGCAGATCCGCAGCAATATTCTCGCCCTAGAGATGCATAACATGAAAATAAAAGATTAAATATCATGCATCATGCAAATATCAAGTGCTTGAAGAGTCTGTGGAAGACTCCCTCCTAGTCCTTCTCTCCCATAACAACGTGAACAATATACCCATACAACATTCATAACAACATATTCATATATTATGTACTCATTACAATGTGTGAACAACATTTTCACATTTCCTTGTGTCTTCTCTCACAGGGGATGACTATGTTCACATTTTTTTTCTCAGTTTTATCACTTTGAATCACTTGGGAATAATTGTGCTGCTCTCCAGTGAGAGTGGTGTCAACTTGTTAAGCTCTGTTCCTCTTTGAAAGTAGTTTTATAACCAGCAGTTAAATTGGGTTTGTAATAGGGTCTACGTCTGGCAAGGCTAGAAATAAAACTGCAGGTTTCATTTTTGTGCTACTCCAATCACTCACTGAAAGCCAAAGTGATCAACTGAAAACTCAAAAGCTGGAAAATAAAGTAGGAACACTCACTAGAATAGTGGATATCACTCCTTGGTGCTCTGTCATTTCCAGAAGTGCTTGCAGGACTGCCAGAAGCTAGATTTGCAAAAGAAATATTGTCTTTCAGGTTAACATGTAATACCCAGAACTGCCCAAACAATTCCTCCCAAAAAATTACCCTCCCAAAACAACCTGTGCATCCCCAGTTCTGCAGCCATTTGGTGCTCTACAACTATAATTCTTCTCAATAATACCCGGATAACTTGGCAAGAGGGGTGGAACAGTTTATCTAGTGAGGTCTGCATGGGGGCCGTCTTCCCTGGGATCATCTATTTGTCACAGGTTTTAAGCCACAAACTTTTTCACTTTTAGGATTTTAAGGTACTGTTCAATATTAGAACTGTTGACAAGCAAGAGAGCGACAATTAGACCTGCCTCCAAGATTTTGCCCGTATACTTATTCTTACAACGTACTGCTCTGTTCAGATATGTAAGAATATGTTGTCTCCCAGTGCAAGAGGAGCAAAGCAAAGAACAGCCTGGGGCCAGTTTCTCCCCAGGTTTGCTAGATACGGCAATATACTGGATTTTCCTAGGAGCCACATGGTCCTACTTCAAAATTTATGTGGATTGACTGGTAGCACAACGGGAAAAATTTCAGAGTGCTGCATTTTTGTTTTTTTTCTGCTGTTGTGTAGCTGTATGTATTTTGGGCAGATTGTTTAGCTTCCCTTCGCTCCTGCCCCCAACAATCCTCATTTGTCTGGTTAGAGACTGAAATCTGGGGAAAAATGATCACTTACTATGCGCTTGTGTGGTGCATAAAAAAAAAAATACGAACCAGCCACTGCTGAGACATTCTGATGCTACAGTGTAGGAAACAGTCATTATCTGAGACCCTTATCTCTGAAAAATCACTATGTTCCTTTAAAGCAGAGGCACAGAAGCTCTCTCCTGTGGTGCCTGTCTGCTGAGGGGTGATAATGTAAGGATGGAAGCTGTGAGCCATCATCAAGTGACTGAAATAATTCTTATGAATTCGTAATTCCATGTGATTGCTTTAGAGTTCCCAGGGAAATATTGCTGCCCTTTTCGCTACCTTACCTGATATACTACATGATATACAAGGGAAGCAGGCAATTATCACAGCAATGAGTTATCCTGGATACTAACTGAAAATGTCAACAGAAACATTTTACACTGAAAAACATCAATGTGGATACCCACGCTTGTGCAGCATCTCCTCAGGAAAAAACTGAGGATTCAAATCTACTGGTTATTTTCCTAGAGACCATGATGCAAGTCATAAGGGAAAATCTGTAGGTTAGCATTTTAACTACTTGAGACCATCAATAAGACATATAATAGCTACAAAGAAGCACGGCCGAATGAATAAAATGGATTAAGAAGTTAAAACCTTTAACTTCCTTCATTAAAGTTTCTCACAAGCCAGCCCATCCTGTCTACTTTCTCTGGATCTAGAAAGTGAATCTGGAAGATATTTTCCAGCTAGAGAATGATCCGGGAGCAGATTAACAATTAACTGGGGTAATACATCCATCATGGCAACAAGGAGGGACAAGCTTTTGCTGGCAGCAGCAAGAACTACGGAGACCAGTACAAAAGAGATTTTTTCTTGATAAACCCAGGGAAAGGAAAATGGGAAAACAAGGGTTCACTAGCCTAGGAAACTCTTGCCTTACTCTGGGACCTGCTGCTTCTAACCATAGGATGGAGAATGAGAGGCCACTGACAAGAAAAAGCTCCCTGGTAAATACTGTCTTTATGTCAGTTTCCCATTGCATCACACAATATGCCAGGCCTGATTTTTTTTTTTTTGTGGCTCCCACTCTGTTTTCCTTGCAGTATCTCCTAGTCCAACAGAGCATTCAGGTGAAATCACAGTGAAGTCATGCATTGCTACAAGCTGAACATCATTCCTCTGCTTCTATTTACTGTGCTTCAGGTTCACTCTTCCCCCAGAGCCTCCTTGTTCCCCAAACGTTTCCCTTCCTCAGGCTGCTCCCCTCCTCCCCATTCCAGCCTTTTTTTTTCAGCATGCAGAGAGCAAACTCTTCTATTGTTCTTACTTGTTAATTTTGTTGGGGTGCTCATATGAAAGCCTGCAATAAAACAGAAGGAACAGGTTTGTTAATATCTATTTTGGGTGTCCAGAGTCTTCGTATCATACAAACTGGCAGGCTGTAACTCCTCAGTCCTACAAGAAATGCTGCCCCAGAACTGACACGCTGACACTGTTCCCAAGCCCAGAAAGTCTGAGCTGTGAAAATCTGCAGACATCCCTTATAGAGGGAAGCAGAATCCAAAGCCTGTGCTAGGTTGTTATTCTGCTCAAAAGAAGAAAATCCTGAACTAATTGATACATTCCTTAAAAATTCCTCCTGCCAAAACCAAGTAAGTGCCTGGGAGGGAATAGCTAGTACTTAACTTTAATAAAAGAAATCCAAATGTCTAATTGAGACATGCCTTCAAGTGTCACAAACCCCTTTAAAAACGAATCTTCATTAATTATCTTGGGGTTTTTGGCTAGTAGATTTCCAAGCAGTGGGAGTAAGAGGCATTGGTAATGAGGGAGAAATGGACCTTGCAGAGCACTGTGCATAATGCTTACTGGCCCACTACTGTCAGCTTCCCCCGGCTGATTCACAAGTTTTTGGTGCAGAACAGTAATTTTTTGCTAACTTTTTGTTAGTATGCTAGTGGTTTTGTGCGTCTAGACTATAGCAGGCTGGAAAATTAAGGCGGCTGTGAATACTTCACATTTGGAGGCAAGCCACACACAACCATCACTCCCACCGTGATTTTTATTACATTGTATTAAATCTTTTCTGTGATCACTCTAAAGTCAAAGAGAGATGGGCACCTAAGTTGTCCATGTCTTTGAAAACATCCACCTGCGTGAACTGGCAGTGAAACATTTATCTATTTGTCTAAGACAGACTGTCTCTTGCCAGGGATGAGCAACCGGCACTCTGCCCACCTGGTAAGGCCTCTCACACTGGATTACTGGAACTACCCTGGAAAAAAATCCCTCAGGTGCTATATCCTCAGCAGCCACTCATTATTTTGAGGTACAAATCACAGCATTTGGTCCCCTTCCTCTAGGGCACTATAAAAGCCCCCTTGTAGTGCATCTGCGGTGTTCATTGCTTCCATAACATCTGTGGGGAACACGGTGCATCTGATTCTGTTCCAAGAACTCCCCAGGAGGACATGACCCATCAGCATGTCCTCTGTGTTCCAGCTGTGCACAGCTGGAGACCACAGAGCAGGCAGCACGAATGCAGCTGTAACTCCAGGCAGTCACTGACCCTCTGCCCTGAGGGTCTGGGGTTGCAGTGCTCCTCCTCTAACTGGGGTTCCCGGGGTGTACAAATCCATTCCTACGCCCTCGCTGCAATTTCTGTGCTGTGGACTAATGCTTTAAACAAAGACAGCTCCTGCCACCAGAGCTGTAACACAAGTGAGGCACGTTATTCTCCTCCTGTGAATGTACTCTTTGAAAACCAGAAGGGCTGCTCTTGTTTTTCCTCCTCTCTACACCCAATTAAAAACACGGATCACTTGAGCCACTGGGGTGCAAATAACCACTTTTGGTAATGATGTATGTGACTGAACTTTAACTGCATTTTAAACACAAACATGCATGAAAAGCACATTTGAGTTGAAAAGCCAAGTACTTAAAGTCAGCAGTAAGAGCTCTTCTTGAAAATACTAAATATTAGTAATGCTAAGTACTCAGAAGATATACTGTTGTCTCACCCTGGCTTCCTAGGATCCAGAGGAGGCTTTTTTTTAAACTTTTTAGCATCTCATCAATCTATCCGCAAAAAAAAAGCAATGTCACCTTGCTCAGAGAGGATCTCTGTGATGATTCATTAGGCAATGTTTATAGCATGTTTGGGCAACATTAACAAGAGCCAAGGAAAAGCTTTCAGGAAGTTAATAACTTGCCTGTCAAAGGAGGTTTGGAACAACACAGTACAGAATGCAGCAGGACACAAACCTGGCATTATGGAAACATCCAAATATGATATGATTGCTTCTTACCCAAATACTGTCTTTCCTTCAGCCTATAAGGAGTGGGATCCCATAGAAAAATACCGTGCGAACACACAGAAATACTTGAACAAGCAAGCTCTAAAGCCTGTGTGTGCATATTCTTGAAGAAAGTCAGAAGACCTTGTCAAGTCTTACAAATAGGTCACTTCTCTATGAAACTTCAAACCTTGTCTCTGAAGCCTAGGGGGAGTCGAGCTTTCCTAACAAACTTCCTCAAGATTATAACATAATTATACTATTTCCCCTTAACTTCACTCCTGCAAACGAAGTGAAGCATCGTGGCTCCAATTAGAGCAAATAAATAAATAGAAAAAGCATGTCAAGCCAGAAACTGATACCAAAGTTCACTCCGAAGACTTCAGGTTAGTCAAAACTGTATGCAGGTGACATTAGGCTCTACGAACAGGAAGGGCCAGGTGACCTGTGGTTCAGTACCGGCAGGCACAACCAAAACCCACGCTGCCGTCCTGGCCAGACCTCACCACTTCAATAACTCCAGAGAGCAGAAATGATTCCAGGCAGGAAACATGACAGCAACCCCCTGCCTTTCCTTCAAGGACTGTAGAAGTCTCCTGAGCCTCTGTTATTTAAAAAAAACCCCAACCCATGCACAACTACACACAATAAAACTGTAAGCATCCTTCCCAAAGATACCCAGATTCTGCTAGAGCATGAAAAATTAAATAGGAAAGATCTCATGCCCTTCTCTCTCTCTCTCCCATCTCCAGCACGCCAGCAGGGCGCCAGCTCACTCTCTGTTCAGAGGTTGCTCAGCCCTGCCACACAAACAAAGCTGTGCTTATCAGATCGAAATCAGTTTGCATTTCCTAAAGAACCATCCAGTGCCCTTTTTGGTGGTGGGGTCACATGCTGCTGTTCTACACAAAGAAGGACAGCAGGAAAGGCTTCTTGCTAACATAGTTACCGCAGTTCCAGCTGCTGGTTCAGAGCTTAGCGGATTCCTTGGGGCTGTGAGTTAGGGGGCAGATGCTCTGCGTAAATAATCTGGGAAGATTTCCAGATTCATCATGAAAAGTGAGGTGTGCAACACTGGCTGTGCTGAGTCCTTGTTGTGCGGTAAGGAGGACAAGCATAAAAAATTTGGCATGTGATGGTGGTTTGATTCAAAAATACCTGCCCGAGTCAGTTCAGTGCTGGTTAGAAGCTTGACAGATGGAGAGCGAGACCAATAACCAGCCTCTCCCCATTCTGTTCTCCAACGACTGCTACCTAAGCAGCCTGGATATCCTGCAGTTTGCTGCTTCTGTTTTTGGAGGGCAGCCACATGGAACTGTATTCACTGGCAAAACAAATGAATAAATTTGGCTGATTACTCAGAGGGGATACCACAATATAAATCAAAGCAAAATTAAGAACTTCAAAAAACCCTCCTTGCCCTGTCTATGCTGTAAATCTGTAACTGTGTTAACTGAGGCTCTGCTACATTTTCCATCTTCCAGGCACTTCAATTTTTCTGTCTCTCTCTTTATGAAGAAACTGAAGAGATGGTGGGTAATTTTTACCTAATATCACCATCCAGAATTCCTACATAGCTTGCATACAGGAAGAGTCAAACCCTCCTCATTTTACTCGTAAGATTTTTTCCTTAGGGAGATGCCTCCTGTGAAACAAGTGAGTAGGATTTATAATTACGGGAGCACAATAAAGATATCAATAGATGCAGCAAGTTGATTCATCTGCAGGTTTATTATAATAGATCGTTTGATCTTACCACCCTGCTAGGTGAACTTAAGCTCATACTGCTTTAGAGATTTTTTGTTGTTTACGTCACAGAATATAAAGCTACAATACTTGCCATTTCTCAGATGTGTTCAGACTCCATTAAATCTTCAATTTTTCATTAATTAAACAAAAGGAGAAAATCAAATATTAGCAAGCAATCCTCTGTGGAGGTGGAGAATGAGTAGGAGGTATATTACACACAACAACCAAAGTTAAAGCTGAAGAAGTGTATGTGTCAATGGCATGCATGCAGGTTGCTCACTTTGCTAAAAACAGTCCCTATTGCCTTCTCTAGCCTGCGTGAGCACTACACAGCCTCTCCTCCACGGCTGGTGGTTTCAATCTTCTTTAATACAGCAATACTGTTCTCTGATGTTTCTCCAAGTTCTTTCCTAGGCTCCCCCACTCATTTCAGTTGCTCTCCAGCTCTCTGTGGCACTCCTCCCACTCCTTGATCTTTTGATATGGCTGACTGGAAATTTCTTTTCAAAATGTGGTGGGTTTTTTTTTTTCTTTTTCTGCAGAAAGGAAATTTTCACCAAAATGGAATTTTTTTTAAAAAATGGAAAATAGTCTCAAAACTAAATATATTCTTTTGCACTGAGGTTAGCCAGCTGGATTATTTTGGTTGAGCACACCAAATAAAAACGTTCTGGTTTGGATCAATTTCACCTTAATTTGTCTTCCCCTGAGCTCCCACACAGAAGCTGTGGCTTGGGGGCCTTCGGTCTGCAAGCTCTGCTCTCATCCATGGGCTGCAGCACCAGCCCCATTGCACACACCAGCCTCTGCTCTGGTGAACAAAAGGCTTTCAAATCCTATATAAGCCCCTGAATGTGAAATTTCAAAGAGCTGCAAAGAAACTGTCTAGTGGCAGTGAGAAAGTCAGTATTTCTTCTAGTCTCAGCACAGAGTGAAACAACTGTCTTCACACTTGGATTGCTTTAAAAGATATTAGAGTGCAGCATATGGCTTCCCTTGGCCCTGAGGAATTGCACATAGGAGAAGAAACCGGTTTGAGGGAAGTAAAATATTTTTTTCTTGAAGTCTTTAACATATACAAAGAATAAGGGAGCAAGAGTGGCCTAAAGGTGTACCTCTGTGGGATAAGCTACCTATCTAACCAGTGTGAGTAATGGGATTTCTTGCATATTTAAGCTGCAAGAAAGAAGCGAGGAGCTGGTGCTGTGAGGTGACAGGAAAGGTGTAAACATGCAAATCCTGGTGCAGGAGGAAGTGGTTTTGAAATGGCAGTTTTATGGGAACTCAGAGCACGGGCTGTGCCAAGCACCTAGACTGACTCCTCCCCTCCCCGGACAGATGGGTCCTTTCTTTCTCAGACATAGAATTTTAGACCTGGCATCTGGAATAGTCCCCAAGCTCAAGAAGATTTATTGATTTCACAGCAAAGTGAAATGAGTAAAATGGTGCATTTCACGAACTGACTCAAGGAAGGTTGTAAAAATTTCTGGGCAATTTTTAAATGTAATTGAGCAAAAATTATAATAGATAATTAAATACATGTTATCCATAGCCAGATATGTATTACAATCTCATTTTAAACTTGGAGAATTCACCTGTTTGAGAGAACCTTTAATTAAAAACACTGTAATTTACTGCAGTGTACCAATGGTAAGGTTTCCATCCCATGCGCATGTCTGCCAAAAGTCACAAAACCTAACAGGATAGGCAAGTAGCTACAGCTCACAATACACACATTATGGGCCATAGACTTACTGAAATAATTGCAAAGAATCCTCTCTAAATCAGTGGCCTTAGATTAAAGATGAAAAACACCAGCCAGCTTCCTTACAGTGCTTATTATTATACATTTTTATCTGCTTCTAAGCATTTCAGTGCATGCTGAGGATATGATACTACTCCACTTTTATATCCAGTCCTGTCCTCTATGAGAAAAAAATCACAGTACATGCGCATGCTTATCTCCTACAGACACAGTCAAGAGTCTTGTATCCCCTGAGAGATGTTAAATATTAATAATAATTGGGATATGCAAACAAAGACAGCGTCCTTACTGGATTTACACACATGCAGCTGAAGTATTGAGTGAAGTGAAGGCTCAAGGGATCTTAAGAAAACCTGAATAAGTGGTTCTTCAAACTCTAGGAAAATTAAGCCAGCTAGAAGCATAATAAATGATCACTCATATAACCTGGCATCTATGTTCACCACAGTGTTTCTTAGTGGCTAAATACACCAAGACACACCCACAAAAAGTGTAAAACTAGACTGGAGTTGGGAGGGATTAATATCTTTTTGACCTTGCATGTGACCATGTTGTATTTTGAACAATGTCATTTAATCGGTAATATGCATTAACTTGCCCTCCAGATTTATTAACAATTGTAAAAATTATAGCTGTTTTCTCCTTTGTCTCCTTTGCTTTGCAGTCAGAGAATTTATCTTGATGACCTCCACTGGCAGTCAGTGCTACACAATGACCACACAAGGCATATATAAAGATTGCTATTATCTTTTGTAATTTATATCCTCCTGTAAAGACATTGAGGGTACCAGCAGAATGTTTTGAAGTTCACTCATCAAAACTTCATAGCCAGACAACATGAACACAGTGCACCCTGCATGAATGAGGAGGCGGCCCTCATTACAGGACAATGTCCAACAAATGAAGAAGAGATTCAAAATCATTTGCATCTTTTTAACTGTTTGTACTGGAAAATAGAATGTATGCTTTCAAGACTTACCTGAGGTTCCAGGAGTAGAAGTATTATTTTGTACAGAGACTGTAGAAGAAAAAGACCATCCCTTGGTAGATGAAGCATCTGAACTCTCATTCTGTGCCAATGGCGTTCCACTTGTTTGTGTAGCTGGAAAGGAGACAGATGTTCATTAAGATACATCCATATAAGTATTTTCTGAGATCCTGGACCGTTCCTCAGACAAAAACTCCCACCATCACAGAAGAGACTTAAGGTCAGAAAGCAGCAGAGGTTCTGGTAACTGCTTGTCAAGCAATGAACCATCTCTATGGAGTTGTTACTACTGGCATACTTGAGGCATCTTTAATATCCAAGCATCGCAAACAGCCCTGCATTTGAGCCAGAAGACAGCTTAAAGTTCTGACTTGGGAGCCCAGAATAACTAGAGAGTCTTGCACCAGGAGCAACACGAGCAGAAGTTCACTTACTGCCCTCTATCTTTAACCTTCACTTTAAAAAATGTAAAAATACTCAGCAACAAGCTCCAGCCACAACTGTCACGTAATGTGCTATAGTAAAAAGGTTTAGGGATTTTAATTAAGTGCAGAGTTAATTATTTCATTCTGTGCTCTTAAGGCCTAGGAAACATAATATCCCTAAAAAATAATGTATGAAAAATTAAAAGTGTCTTACTTCTGCTCTCATATAATCAATACAGGATCAAGACCATCTGCGTCATAACATTTGCAGCCTAAGTTGAGCCCAAGACGACAGCGGAAGGCACCGTCTAAGCCCGTGGAACTGAAGGTCACTGAATGACAAGAAAGAATTTAGGCTGTTCCAGCACAGCTGATAATTCCTACATCCACACTCAAACCTCAGCATAACAACAGGCAAGACAGTGCCTACTGAATAAAACATACGGGTGCCAAGAGTAACCTTATACTTCCTCTCTGATATAAATCAGAGATGCGACTGAGCTGTAAACTGTTTTCAGTGCCTCTTCGTATGAATTTCAAATGCTGGAACCAAAACAACTTTCAGACATGTCTTAGTCAAACGAGTGCAACATCACGCACACTCAACGTGTGAATCTTTAGGAATGCTTCGTCACATGCTTTATTCAGAAACTCTGATTACCAGTTGGGCCCCTCCAAGAAATGTTTTCTCAGAAAAAAAACCCAACAACACCCAAAGCTCCCTGTGCTACCACCACATACTTTTAACCTGGCCTTTTCCTTCCCCTCTTGTTTATTAAGCACAAAACCTTGGAGAGGCAAGCTTCAAAAAATCAATAAGCTACGAAAGCGAGCTGAAGCCACTGGAGCCAGCGGATTCATACAACTTTGGGAACTGAGAGAAGCTGGACAGCCAGGGATGGTATCTTTGAAGGTTGAGGCACGGAAGGAAATTGTACTGAAAATGGTGCACGACACGGCTAAATACTTAAAACCTTCACTGGGATTCTAGTGATGAGAAGCATAATATCACTTTCAGCTCCCTCCAGAAAGCTCAGCGTTGTATCCTTTCAAAATGCAAGTCTAATCTGCAGTAGAGATGAGAATAGAAAGCCTCTCTACTTCATTTTTTTACTATGGTATGATGCAAGTATCTGAGAACTTTAGTAATTCCTGCATTCTCATCATAGAAGCCTTGACTGAATCTTTAAAAGCAAACTTTTTCCACTTTTGGTTCTTATTATGGTTGCTTCAGACCCAAAAATTTTAGATGTTGAATTTCAATCGGAGATCAATTTAAAAAAAAAACCAAAAAACAAAACACCAGAAAACCTCCCTTTCCCTTTAAGATGCATGGGCTCGTAACAGTAACCAACTGTGCCTCCCTTATCGTGGTTAGTAGAAGCTTTCATGGGAGATGAAAAGTAAGGAAGAATAACTGTAAGCCTTCATGTGCAGACATTTGAACACAAATAACGCTTTGTGAGCACTGCACAACAATCAGGTGTGTGGGAGAGCCAAGGAGGGAGGCAGCCAGTTGCCTTGTAACCCCGCAGAGATCTGTTTTCCCATGGGGATCGCGCGTTCCAGGCGCCCTGGCAGCAGCCCAGCCCGGGGTGCTCCTCTTGTGTTTGGGAGCTGTGAGAACAGATTGTTCTCAGGAACATGGGCTGTGCTCTGGATATGCTTCAGTAGAGGATTGGGAGGGGAGGGGTGATGGGGTTTGCATTTAATTTTCATTTTAGTTCAGACTGGGTGAGATTCTTCCTGCGACTCAGGTAGCACCAGGTATGATTCGTGCCTTTACCTAAGGCTTGGTGTGAAGCTTGTTGCGTTTACTTCTGCAGACTGTGGAGCAGGCTCCCTGCTCCCGGTGTCAAGGGGTGAAGTAGGCGTGCTACGGTGCAAAAGTCTATGTGCCAGCTTTCACCACTTCAAGATGAAAATGCGACCTGGCATGGAAGGTTCCCTTAATTCCACTGTACTACTGTGAGGTGAAATTGTACCAACCTAATTCTCTGCTGACTTGCAGCTTTGAAGCAGCTTTTAAGCAGCATCCAAGCTTTCTGCCTAACACGCAGCATAGGCTTTACCATCAACACATTTCGCAGATCACATAGCTCCTGCGCCAAAAGCCTATGGGAGCAGAAACATTCATATCCAGCCGCCGCTCGTGTATGCGATGGCAGCACTGACAGCCCAGCGTGCCTGCTAGAAATCTGCAGTTTTGGTAAATCCCCTAACTCATATCTATGCAGGGTTTAATTTGATCCGAACAGGAGGAGACAGCACAAGCCCTTACTGCAGTGTGCCAGCGCTCTGCGCGGGAACAGGCGGGGGACTCTGCGCGGGCACACAGTGACTCAGTTCTGCTGTCCCCACTGACACATCACTGCAGTAATTCATCACGCTTCGGCTCAGGCAGCTGCAGCAGAGATTTCTGCCTGCCTGACGGGGGGAGGCCTGGGCTTGTAGAAAAGCAACACAGCAGAGAAGGCTGCTGCTGCTGCTGCTGCTGCAAAAGCGCTCACATCATCAGTTAATGGGCTTGTTGTCAGCAGCTGATTATGAATAAAACTGGAAAAGCAGGGAAGATTATGAAATAGCTGTCCGAATGGGGATGATTGCTGCAGTGGCAGAACTCCCTGGTGGTGATCCCTGCTGATATTTTGATAAGATAAATGACAGTGTGTTAACATGTATTTGTCAAAGGGATAATCAACAACAGGGAACCTGAAGCTGCTCTGCAAAGCTGATGCCTGAGCCTCAGGTACTCCCTTACTCCTTGTGCTCTGAAAACCCTTCATTTTCTTTAACCAGCTGAAGTTCGACACATATCCTCACTTGACCTTAGTATGATTTTCTACTTAACCTACATATAATCCACATATAGTTTGGCATTTCCCAACAGCATTTTGAATTTTCTGTACAGCCGGCTGTTACCTAACTAGCTTTGATGCCTCAAGTAAAGAGCACTCTGCATATGCACTGCAAAGAATACAGACATCTGCATATGCGTTAAAACTTCAATAAATTAATCAAGGAAATACCTTTACAGGGCAGAAGGAACTGCACTTGAACCACGTTAAAATGACAGCACAGGGGCTTTGTTAGGTGGAAAATTAAACCTTCTCCCTTGAGCTCCTGCCTTTAGCATAAACACACAGATAAGTCCTCACCCTTGTAATCAATAACCTGAGAAATTATTTGCATTAACAAATGCGTTCATGAAAGCTTTAAAGAATCCCAGTGCAGCAAAACCAATGCAACTTCACACCTGTTCAGAAAAATAGAAATTGGCTGCAGAGGTAACCAAGCAGATCTGTTTTAATGTTTACATCCATAGCTGATTGCATCTGCTGTCTGCCAGCTTTACCTTTTCAAGTAAGCAGAAAACCCCAAGCATTTAAAAATATATGTTTTAAAACCTTTCTCTGCCTAACATGACTCAGCAGCCAACTGTACTCAGTGTTTTCCTATAGCATACAGTAACGACCTGAGGACAATTTGAGCAATATATGTTACCATAATCCTCTTCTGGTAGTTTTACTGATGTAAAGCTTCCTTACCAATTACCAGCAGTTTGATAAAAAGAGAAAAAGTATCTTCTACACTCCTTCCTGTTCCCACTTTTTAATATTTAATATTTCATTGCACCATGATGTATCATCATTCAGGAGAGTAGCATGAGATAAATCAGAAACACAACAGACAAAAATCCACTCTTACTTATAATTTAATACCCTGAGCACTGACCTTGCATAAGATGCTTACTTCACGGCCAAGTGAGAAAAAACATGTTGCATTTCATTTCATATTCTCTTTGATAACTCCAAGTGTCCCAGGATATGAAATCCTGATTGTAGATGGAACTTGCTGTAATGTGACACCATATAAATTCTTAGTGTGGGGCCTGGACTGCACCAATGAGGTCATTTTCTGACTAAATGCAAACTACTGGATTTGACCCCTTATATTAAATAAGAAGGTTAAGGAGACAAGTCTAATTGCTACCATCCAATATAATAAAAAGGGCAGGAGGGCAAAGAGGGAGAGATTTTATTTATGACCTGCAGAGGAAAAGAATACTGAAGACTTAAAAAAAAAAATCAACAAAAAACCCTCAAAGTCATTTGCATGGTTTCACAGCGTATGGAGCACTGAGGGCTCTTCCTGAATCTATAATAAAAGGTGACAGCAGCCACAGAAATTGCAGTGGAGACAGGAAGCCCTGTCAAATCTCTGCAGTGTGAACGTGATCATTCGTTGAAGCTTTTAGCAAGAATTGAATCAGAGAAAGCAATGTCCTCCATTACAAAACAATAGAGGCCCTTGCTTTTTACTGAAAATCAGGTGTAGTAAATTAAATTTTGAGGTGTCTTATAAATGACTGCTAATATCTGCCTCGGTACCATGCAGCCAGCCCAAAAAGGGAGAGAAGTGAGTCGTAGAGAAAGAGTAGAAAACTTTCACCTCCTGTACATTTTGAGAGTAGAAGTTTTGCTATGCTTCAGGGACTGCAACTACCCCCCAGCCCCATGCTGCTCCCTGAGGTGCTGGCAGGAGCTGGGAGGACGCAGTGAAGCCAATGACACCTCACTGTGCACATGTGTGGGGTGCGAACGCAGAGATGGCTGTAGCCAGCAGCCAGATGGTGGTCAAGGGGTCTGTGGGTTTTCTGTGAGGGGTGGCCACACATCTGCACATCCCCTGTGCCGTGCCCTGTCCTAAAGCCACTACCTTGTGTCCTGTCCCACTCCTTTGTGCTGAGGCCAAGATTATGACTTTCTTAAAAGGTAGAGTAGAATTTTGTCTTAAAAAACAAAATAATTGATTTTTACGTACACATTTTTTCCAGAGACTATGTAGTCTTTAAAGAAAATAGTCTTTTAATGGAGGGCAGTTCCCAATTTCTTCTTTAATTTACCTTCTTACAAAGGGGAATGAGAGGCAGGTGAGCCCTGTGTTTAGGTTAATTTGTTAACATTTTTATCACAACTTTCGCCTGTTTTTTAGCTTAAATGAGAAGTTTTTAAAACAAATGACAACCCAAGCAACTAAGCTGAACTCCAGCTGGTGGGAAGAAAATACAAAAAAAAGCAGAAAGAAAGTGCATTGATGAAAACTTCACGTCCGGGTCCACTGCACCTCCAGCACCACCATACCCCCAGCATCAGTTTTTTTGGGCAGAGCAGTAGCTGGAGCTAAGCTGCACTGGCAGGCATGCCCTTCCTCGTTAGCTTTCCTTCCACTGCCAGGAGCTCTACCTGTCACCAAGGTTTAGTTCCAGGTGCTGCTCTAGCGCCCACAAGCCAGGAACATCTGCCAAATCAAAAGGACTAGGAATTGCATCCATAATGCAACATGCCACGCCACGGGTTTTTGACAGGCCCACAGGGTGACAAATGCAAGCTTAAAAAGATTCTTTGTGGCCATCGGTATCACTTCAGCAGCTTGTGTGTCATCCAGTCTGCATTCTGTGTTTCACTGATCCTTGCCAAGCCAAAAACCAGAAGACTTTTTGGTGAAGAGACTACTTCCTACAACCAAGTGCAGCAGGGAAAGATGCATCAGCAGCAGATGTAATCATTAAGTGAAAGGGTGATTGCTCTCCAGGCAGCTTAGCAGGCTCAGGTCCAGCTTTAAAGGAGAATTTACACAAAGAAAGCAGGCAGGCCATTTCAGAGGAGTCCCTTTCTAGGCAAGGAAACCAATGGAAGAGAAGTCAAGTTCTAATCGTTTGACACATGCTCTAAATATCAGTTCGGAGAAGACTGGTGTCAGTGTACCACTGACTGCTGAGTTAAATATCTGGAGTATTTCTTTTTAATTTTTTGAGTCAACTAAATAGAAAAGATGGAGTATTTGAAAGCTCCAGTTCAACAAAAGACTTGTGCAAATATTTACAGTGTAGCTCACAGATAAAACAGGAAGTCTGAATTTTGTCTTAAGTTTATGGAGCCCCTTTTGGATGTTATTATACTTGCTTAAACCAATCCAACTACTTGCTGGATACATGGGTCTTTTGGGGGGCTGTTTTTTTTAAAAAAAACAAGCGTCTTTTTCTAGAATCCAATCTAATGTGCTGAGCCAACACACACATTACTCTGAAGATCTATAAAGATTTCCCAAGATTGATGCAGGGTAATTAGTCCCACCTCTCTGCTTTCAGTACTATGACTCATAATAATATAGAGCATAACTAACTGTAGCATTGTAACATACATAAAAATAAAAAACAAAGGGAGAAGTTCTGTCACCACTCTGATCACATAAAATCATTTATTTTTTATGAAATACTTATTTAAAAAACACAACAAAACATAGAAGAAAATAAAAAAAATTAAAACTTCTCCAAATACATCTCTCCCAATTACAATGAGATTAAAATCCTGTGTAATGGTTTCATATCACCTCTACTACAAATTAAAAGTATAATATTCTTTGTGTAAGATTCTAGGGCAAGATTCATTAAAGATACACAATAGTATGAATAGCTCTGCTTCCTGAAACCTCCAAATCCATAACCTAAACTACTTCTTTGTGATCTCCTTTTATTGTTCCACAATGTTTTACAGAAATGTAGCATATAATGAATCAGAAACAGTTCAATGAAATTATCACTTACCATTTGCTGTGCTGTCATTTTTATCTACTGCTGTAGTGGTCACTTTTATTGGTGGTTGAATTGTTGTACTTGGTGTTATTTTTTGTGTAGGACTAGGTGAAGAAGGCATGGAATCTGATAAAGGAACAACATTAACATTTTCTCAATTTTGTATACAAACATGCACATATGCAAAACACACTACTGCCTTGCTTACAGCCTATTTTTAAATTATCAGAAGCCTATTTCATTGAAATTGAAACCCAAGGGTGGCAGGGCTCCCTTCACTGCAAAGAAAGACACTCCCTGCCCCATAGCTGGGCCATCCCACTGAAGATAAGCTTGTGATAATGCGGTTACAAGGTCTGGCTTGGAGCTGCCCTGAGCCTGACCAGGAGGAAGCTCCTGCACACACTTGCAAGGTTTCACCAAAGAGTTCACTATGTGTAAAACAAATTCCCAAGCCAAGAGGTACTGCTGCCTAATTTCCTGAATGGCCACTGCAACATCATCAATGATTAGCTCAAAGCAATTTTCACTTACCATTTGTGATGGATTCATTTGTAGCTCTGGCTGTAGTTATCAGCACTAATGGTTGCAATGTTATTGCTGATGTGGTTGATACCTCTATAGCTTCTGTTACTGCAAGAAAGGCATCCACATTTTTATTGATTCATTTTATCATGCATAAATTAACATCACACACTTCTAGCTACCTTCTCTCACAAAGACAGTGAATTTCTGTTCAAAATCTGGCCCTTGCAGAGCTTTCTTACCTACACCTTTTTGAAGAGGATTCAAAGTGCATATGGCTGGTATTAGAGGCAAGATCTGGCCTGTGGATAACCCACAAGTTGCTCACTGAAAGTTAGGAGCTGTAGCAAGGGTGCCTGGCATGACTTCCACAGGAAGAAGTGAGGGGAAAGGAGCCTGGCGTGGGTTGATGGGCTCACTGTGCTGCTGGACTAGACTGCTAAAGAGCATTTTGCTGCATACCTGTTTGATAAGAGGAGGGTTGTAAACTCCCCAGAAAGAAGCGTGAGTGACACACAAGAGCACAGCACGCATGTCACAGGTAAAGAACTGAAGGTGAAGAGACTCTACTATTCCTTACGCAATTTTTTTTTCTTCTTCTCTCTGCTATCCACTTCGAGTGTTGGTTGAGTCTTCTCTGGCTACCTTTTCCAGACTCTCTTCCTCTGCACCCAGATTTCTGGGGTAAAACGAGCACCCGGCAGGCCTTCATCTGACGCATGCAGCAAAGCTTAATGTAGGGATGAGGGGAACAGTATTCTCTAGTAAGTGATATTCTCCAGGGTGAACTTGGTGCCCTTTGCAAGGTGATTCTGGTAGTTCTCACCTCCAGAGTGGTGAAAGTCTGAGGCTGAGGAGAGGGGAAAGAGCCCCCTCAGGCAGCAGGGATCCCTTCCAGCTGCTGCCGGTGCAGAAAGAGAGGAACAGAGTTGCCCAGACATCGCTAAGGCAATAGCAAGGTTTAAATCAGTGTGTGGATGGCAAACCACAGGTCCTATGTGCCCCTGCCGCATACGCAAGGGAATGAGCTGGCCAAATTGCTGCTGAGGAATCTCGGCTAAAAATGTACAACTAATCGTTTTAAGAGCCCAGCTTTCAATTCTGTAATCTAATACAAACAGAAAATGCTACTGTCAGCAACAGCGGCTCATTTAAATCCCTGACAACAACCCAACATGTGTCCTACTACCTCTTCTAGCACTTTTCATGGATGGAATACATGAAAGAATAGGAATAAATCATGACATGACATCTCATTTTCTCTCATGTGACTTGAGTACTTCTAAATACAATGTTGACACCAGAACTTCTAAAATATACTCTCTTCCTCGGCTCTCAGTTTGCTGGCTCTTCATTTAGAATGGCAGTGCCTCAAAGAATGGACCTGCTTGGGAGCTAGCTCCACATCCACAAAGTGGCTTCTGATGCTTTTCTCGTACACTTAAGTAACAATACTGCTTTTTCTTCCATGGCAGAAAGTTGCGAGAGACATTTCAGTGAAACGTCTAAAGAGCTCATTCAATGGGAGGTGTCGGGCCTTTATGAAATATCTTTGAAACAGACACGAACATCAGGGGTTTTGAAACACAGAAGAACTGCAACACAATTCAAAATGGACTAATTCTTCCGCTATAATAAACAACATATGCATACTTCACCTGGCTGCATCTTGTTCACCTCCATGACTAGCACTTCAAGTGTAAATATTATAATCATCTCAGTGCTTTCAGCTCCGAAACACTTGTTAGTAAACTAGTTATTGAAAAATGGAATGCTGTGTCCAAGTTGTTGTGTTGTTTTTTTTTCACATCACTTACTAAATGCAGCAGTCTTCAAAATTCAAACTAATAAAGAGCTGGTATTTAGCTCACATGAGTGAAATATGGTCAGTCCTGATTTTTCAAAATTAAAAAACTACACAATAAAATGTGTCAATTAAAGATGTAAACCAGAATCACAGACTTTTACCATATGAAGCAGTTTATTTTCTCTGTTAAGTCTTTATAGTTTTAGGACTTTAAGTTTGAGCTAGTTAAAACTATCATAAGCAAAAGAGAGAGAATGCAGCTTTTGAAAATGATGACACTGATGCCACCCTCTTATCCACCAAAATGAATCTTGACATTAATAGTTTTAAGAAGTTATCAGTAGCATTTTTGCAAATAACAGCTTTATGATGTGTATTCTCTGCTATTAACTGAGGCCCAACACTGGCATATCCTGTGTAATTCTTTACTCAAAGTCCACCACTCTACAACCATCAAATCAGCTACTCCCTGCTGACATATCCCTTAAATAATGCTGTTTTACAAATTATTCTCAATCCGACAACCACTTGAACTGTGAGCCTCAGTTTGTTAATACCTGATCACACCTGAACCACTCTTTGAGAACATAGGAACTGACAGAATTTAAGCCTTTTTCACCTGAAACAAAAAACACAGCCTGCTCAAATTAACTATCTCCTTATTAAGATCCCTCAATCCTTTCTCCTCAATTGAGTTTTATAAGAGGGCCAGGGAAATACATTGCTCTACAATGCTCTACAAACCTTACATGAAATAATACACCCAATTTCTGCCAGAATTTGGAAAAGCTGAAAGGTAATAAGGCAATGGGAACTTCAGAATAACAGATAACAGAGACCTCGAACTCTTACCAGATTTTGATATTGTTGAAGAAGTAATTGCACTGGTAGTGTTGTTTGGAATATCATCTCCTGAAATAAAAAATATGAAAGAATCTATTAATTCAGCCACCTTGCAGATCTATTTAGCACTATGTATGCATATAAGGCAGAGAGCAGCAAGGACCTTCCTAGAAAATCAAGTGTGGAAGCCTATTAGCAGAAGCAACAAAATAATTTAACTCTGCTAGCAATCTTTCCAAGATGTATCCCAAACCTCTTAGCTCTACCCTCACTGCTGTAATGCGGAGCATCCAATACAGCATTCTCCCTTGGACTGCAGGTTGTTTTCCAACAGGTATTATTGTCTCTAAGACTAATTTTGAAAAAAAAAAAGGAGTAATTAAAGGTTTTTTTGCTAGCTCCTCCTCTCCTTGAGTATAAAATTCTAGGTCAAGTTAGTAGGTGAAAGTCTTCAACATTACAAAACAAACAAACCATTCAAAAAATTCCCCACTATACCAAAAGCAAAATAATTTCTATATTTTCTGTCTGCGTTGAAAAGTTGTAACAGTATAACTCAACTACAGTTTTCACTTCAAATAATTTTTGCAAATAACAGCTTTATGATGTGTATTCTCTGCTATTAACTGAGGCCCAACACTGGCATATCCTGTGTAATTCTTTACACTTCCAGTCTTAATGCTAGGGTGTTCATATTTTTCTACAATGAGAGTTGAGAGGATGATGAAGAGGGTGAAAAAACTACATTGAGTCAGAAACAGTGGCATTTCTTAACCATTTCACATGGCTGTGAGCCAACGATGGGTACATTTGGGGAGGAAGAGATCAGCTCTGTGGCTGAATGTGAGAGCAAAATGGCACAGACTAATCTCCCAGTGCTTTCAGGTTTGGAGCGTAACATCTCGTCATGCTGCATTAGCATGCTGAATTACAGATATAGAAAAACTGAGTCAGGACAGCACGTCACTATTCTTGTGTGACTTCATTCTTGGTAATATCTGCTGGCATTCTCTCTTTTTTTGGACTACAGGGCAGAACAGTCAGCTTTGTTCCCTTTGCTCAGTGTGCTGCGCTCTGATTAACAATTCAGGAGCACTACCCAAGGCCTGCTGGAGTGACAGATCTAACATGGAAAAAAAGATAATATGTAATATAACTGCAGGAGCTCTGCGGGTGCATATTAAGGTCTAGTCAGATGAGCAATGTAAGGTGTTCTCAACCCCCTTGGCACCTGCACATTTCTAGCGGGTCTCAGCTAGAATGTTGCCTCATCCAGTGAGCCCCACTTTCTTGGGTATCTCTTCTAGGTATGCTGCTACCTTTGTAATTAATGCCTCGTCACAGTACGTGCTGGCCCAGTATGATACGGGCAAATCCCATATCAGATTAAATCAGTTCCCTATGGGCCTGCTTGACACCCCAGCCCTACTTTCCATGACATGTGAAGACAGCCAGGCTATCCACAGTGCCTTGCACACTGCATTTAAGCTCCTGTTTTTCTTGCTGTTTAGTTACCCACTCAGAATAATGCTTCATAACCCACACTTGCAGTAGTTTGAAAACAAATTATATCCAAATAGACCAAGAAGCGGTCTTGTTTCTCTAAACAATGAGCATTTTTCAGTCTCTTTGTTCTCGTTATGAGCTGCTGACAAAGCTCTTGTAATTGCACACACCACAAGGCCACAGCACTGAAGCAGAATGTTTTTTCAACAGTGCCTACATTTCATATGGTTTGTTCTAACATCTCTCAGTAACTACCGTGTCTGTAACACCAGCTAAAGGCACTAGGCTGGCCAATTAGCTCATTGCCTAGCTCACTCTTCCCCTAATTCAGCATAACTTTGAGGAAAGTTCATTGTGATACTTCGATTATTCATCTTTTAAAGGTGTTCTGTGTAATAACCATGTTGATAGGCCAAGATTTCCTCGAATTTCAAAAAATTGAGAATTTAAGTCACAATTTTGTTATGATTTACAATTTGCTGATTTTATCACAGGCTAGAAATAAATCAGGCTAAATTTGATGAGAAGAGTAGAGAATAAAGTAGAGTTTTCTGAATTAATTGTTTTCTTAAAATGGTGAATAATTAACTGTACTTTAAAAACAAGTTCAAAGCGACAAGCAAAAATGCTTAAAACTCAGCAGGATTTGAGGAGGAACTGGTTGATTAAAAGAAGCAGTAGAACTGGTGGCTTATTATGCTCTTACTTGCAATCTTAAGTCATGACTAAGGATAATTCTAGGAGGGATAAAAGCAAGAGATCAAAAATAATCAAAAAAAAGAACTTTGGCCCATTAAAGTGTTGCTGGACAAAGAAAGAGATGGAAATAATTAATTTTTCTGCTCATGTCGTGTTGGCTGCAGCCTCACAAAACAGACAACTGAGTAAAGTCACAATTGCATGGGTTTTGGCAAATTTAGATGCAGTGATCCTTTTGATACAAGCACACGTC